GACCCAACACTCTGGATGAGCTTAAGGCCGCTATCGAAGCATCCTGGGCCTCCATAACACCTCAGCAGTGCCACAGGCTGATTGCCTCCATGCCACGCCGCATTGAAGCAGTCATTCATGCAAAAGGATTCCCGACCAAGTATTGAGTGCATAACTGAACATGATTATTTGAAGGTTTGTGTTTTTTGTATTAAAAACACTTGTCTTTCATTGGTGGGATGACATATGCTAATTTTTTGGGACAGGCATTTTGGGTTTTCATGAGCTGTATGCCATAATCATCAGTATTAAAACAATTAAAGACCTGAAATATTTCAGTTGGTGTGCAATGAATCTGAAATATATGAAAGTTTCATTTTTATCATTACATTATGGAAAATAATGACCTTTATCACAATATGCTAATTTTTTAGAAGGACCTGTAGGTGCAGGTGTATCTGAAAAACAAAAAACAAACACATGTTAAGGATAGAAAAAATAATTACAAATACTAAACATGTTGAGCAGAGTAAATAAAGACAAGAGTGTAGTGAAGAAATGTGGTCAGTTTGTCCTCCAGCAGTCTAAGCCTATAGCAGCATAACTAAGGGACAGCTCAGGAAACCCAAGCCGACCCTAACTATAGGATTTATCAAAAAGGAAAGTCTTAAAACTGGACAATGTGTCAGCTTTACAGTCAGTATCTGGAAGTTGGTTCCACAAGAGAGAAGCCTGATAACTGAAGGATCTGCCTCCCATTCTTTTTTTGTAAACTCTAGGAACCACAAGTAAACCTGCAGTCTGAGAGCGAAGTGCTCTGTTGGGAACATATGGAGCAATAAGATTTGTAATATGGTTGTTGAGAGCTTTGTAGGTTAGAAGTAAGATTTTGAATTCTATTCTGGATTTGACAGGGAGCCAATGGAGAGAAACTAAAACTGGAGAAATATGATCTCTCCCAGTAACTCCAGTTAAGACTCTGGCAGCAGCATTTTGGATCAACTGAAGACGTTTTAAAGAAGTATTTGGACACCCAGATAATAAACCATTGCAATAGTCCAGTCAAGACGTGACAAATGCATGGACCAGTTTTTCTGCATCACTTTTAGATCAGATGTTTCTAATGTTAGTGATATTACGCAGGTGGAGGAAGGTGGTTCTAGTAACATTTTTAATGTGGGGGATAAAAGACATGTCCTGATCAAAAATAACACCAAGATTTTTAACATTAGAGCTGGAGGACAGATTAATGCATCTAAGGAGGGAGAAAGACTGAAAATTGTATCCCTAAGGTGCTCAGGTCCAAAAACCAAAACCTCCGTGTTATCTGTGTTTAAAGGCAGAAAATTAAGGGTCATTCAGATTTTTATGTCTTTAAGACATGTTTGTAGTCTCAGTATCTGCTTAGATTCATTTGGGGTTCATGGACAAATATAATTGTGTATCATCAGCATAACAATTAATATTTATCCCATGCTGTTTAATAATATTACCTAATGGAAGCATATACTGTACAAGGTAAAGAGTACTGGTCCAAGCACTGAACCTTGAGGAACTCCATGACTGACCTTAGTGTAAGAAGAAGATTCATTCATGACAATATGTTACAGTTTAAGGTCAACCCACACCCTGTGACACTGTTCTGCTTTAGATAATGTTCCCATCCAGTTTGCTGGCCCAGTGTGAAGCTGATACTTTAAAATCTCTTGGAGGAGTTTATTAAAATACAGTGTGCAAAATGGTAAAATGGTGTATTAGATTCAAATAGCAAACTGTA